GGGGCCTGCGGCCCCTGGACCCCGCTCTCCTCCCCCCCCCACACCCCCGGGCATTCATGACAAAAAATAGTATGTGCCACTCGGCCCGTAGTGTCGGTTTGCGATTCGTGTGAGTTAGCAGCACTCGGCGCGGTAAGCCTTCGGCGAGACTCGTCCCTACCTTACCGACGCCTCGTGCTGCTAACTTCACACTCATCGCAAACCACTTACGGGCCTCGTGACACAAATAACTATTTCTGTTTCCCTTATCCCATAACTTCCAATAGATTCAATGCCCAAGCAGCACAGTTCTGGAGGGTATCTGCAAGTATACCGAAAAGGCTGTTTACTGTCTGTCCAAAATGGTAACTTGTGTCTAGAAGTTACCTAGAAGTTAACTAAAAGTTAACTAAAAGTTATCGTATGACTGCAAGATACCTTTTGGACGGACATTAGTCAGCCTTCTTGGTATACTTTCAGATATCTTTCGCAAAGTTTGCTACTTGGGTTCAAATTTATCGCGTTACCCCCACCCGATCGGTACTTGGGACGCTGCTGCTCGTTTGGGCTGCGTGCGCAGAAATTTCATTTTTCAGTACTTTTTTCGCTATTATTAATAAACAATGCTCCTAGGCGACAATCTTTTTCATTCAAAACATCATTGATCACATGTTCTAAATGTGTCTAAAGTTTCATGACTTTGGCTGCATTTTTTCCTTGGGTTTTGCAGTTTTTTTGTGATTTCCATAAGATCACGGGTTAAATGACCACTTTTTCAAAAATTCATAATAAATTAACCATGCTCCCCAGCAGTCTGAAACTTTGCACATGCCTTTTCCATCATTTAAAGAATACGTAAAAAAAGAAAAAAATGGCTGCTTTTTTTCTAACCCTCCGGGCTCGCCCGATTATCCTTAATGAATAAACTTGAACTACTGTCAAAATTGTTCATTTTGTATTTTTTCCAAATGGCGAAAATTCTTTTTTGTGCATGGTAATGAAGAACACACTTACGGATTCCAAAAATACGAAAATATATTTATTGATTTGCGAAATAAAATTATCTGGAAAAGTCCATGAGACTCTCTTTTGGAACATTTTTCAATGCAAAAAAGCGTAGAATCGTGGGAACATACTTTCAACGAGTTGATAAATAAATATTGACTTTCAATTACATTAGAGTAATGGACAAGTGTATTATTCAACTAGTGTAAATAATGTAATGAGTTTTCGTATTTATAGCTATTGTAATAGCACTGCAAACAATATTGTACTCAATTTAGTCAGTCCTGCAAGACAAATGAATATCAATTTCTCTATTATTTCAGACTAATTTTATAATTTCAATCTAGAAACTACGATTACTTCGTCTAACCCCCAGGGTAAAAACACGGCGCTCATTTCTCATGGAATCTACATTCTCGAAACTAAAATGCTAATTACATACATGAATATATGGATTTCATATACAAACGTTAACAGTAAAAACTGGCCACGGAGAATTAATCGCACTGTATCGTATTAAAATTATCTTAACTGTTTTCCATCTTCACATTTCGAATCAGAATGAAGAGCTGTTCATTCGGTGTCATGTAGTACTCGTTGAGTGGAACAAAAAAATCGTAAATTACATCGTCGTCGGTAAATAAATAATAGAATAATTTCCAACTATAGATATCCTAATGTCATTTCATAGTATTCATTAGTATATTCATTGGTAACAATTTATCCCATTTCTTATTGTTCAAAAAAAAATCTAACTAGTCTTCACGAGAAATCTTCCTCCCGTGGTTTTCTTATTTTACTCTTTACTTTTTTAGACTTCAATCCTGTTGCCTTTTTTTTCTTCGGCTTGGGGAAGACTTCGCAACTGCAACCACTTCGTACTCTTATGTGATCCAGTCTCCATGGGGAGCCCGAGCCGAGAAAGAGAACGTGATGGTCTTTGTGACGATGTGGATGCTCTAGTCTGTCGATTTTCTGAGGAACAAATCATTTCAAAATTGTGCTGAATAATTTTTTTAAGTCAAAGCATCATGTCTTTATTAAATCCCAGATAACGATTTAAATTATTTGGAATTGCGGAGAAGTTTGGATCGAATTATTAATTATTTAGAAGCTCTTGGCCTTCAAAGTAGTTACGTAATGTCAAGAAATAAAAAAACCCACCCACTGATGCAATTCCGAGGGGTCCCCAACGATAGCGTAAGAGTACGAGAATTTTTGGACACATCTCGTCTGATTCATCAGCTTCTTATCCACAAATCTGCAGGGTTTGTCGAGAACGTCGGGGCGGCACGAGTACTCGTGGAATCTCTGGGCGATCTCCAGATGACGATACAACTCCACTCCGGCGCCCTGGCGGTTCCTTCCCCCCGTGGGTTCAATCATCTCTTCGACCGTGGGACAACACTCCACGGGACTTCCGCCCTCGCCGCCCTCGCGCCGCAATACACTCTGGATCTCTCGGTATGTCAAACCGAAGGATGGACTGCGCTTTTCTGAAATTCTAATATGTCTCTATATAATAATAATAAAAAAATGAGGAGTGTTTAAGAATTCAGGAGACACCCCTGATTCTGGCCCTTACTGTGACCCTGATGATGCCATTGAAAATGAATTCAATAGCGAAGTGGTAAAACGGTATAAGTCAATTTTGACTATTGACCAGTTTTCAATGAATATCTCGGAATCAAAGGGAGATAGCAACATTTTTATTATAACCTTTTTTGTAGAACCGATTGAGAACTACAACAAATGTGAATACAAAAATTTCGCTATCTCCCTTAGATTCGGAAATATTCCTCAAAAACTCAACTGGGAGATAAGTCGACTTAAACCGTTTTACCACTTCGCTACTGAATTGTTATCTCTATGTCTTTGATATGTTCATATGGGGTCACTAGGGGGCAACGCCCCCTGCTCGCTCCGCTCGTCAACCCCCATATGATCCCCACATGACCCCCATGATCCTTATTCAGACCCTTGTGACCCTTAATCTGACCCTTGTTACCCTTATTTGGACGTTTAATCCCACCCTTGTGAGTCTTAAACTTGTGACCTTAGTCTGACCCTCGTGACACTTATTCTGACAGTCATGACCCTTATTTTGACCCTTGTGACCCATAATTTTGAAGGCCTAATTTCGGGTACCAAATTTTCATCACCAGAAGTCGTTTTGGATTTTTATAATATAGGGAGACATGAGGGTCATGTGGGGGGAATATAGGGGTCTAATTATTTTTTTTTTGGACCGTTCATGAATTTCATGATTAACATAATTTAGACTTTGAGAAATTCTTCTTGAACTTCAACTACCCTAAAAATTCTGAAGACCGCTGAGGTCATTTTTGGATATCAACAATCATGAAGTGGGGGTCAAATTCAATGGGGGGCTAATCCTTGAAAGATAATAATAAGAATACACCTCATACTATTCTATGCAAATAAATGGAAAAATGAATGGTTGAGTCTGACGACAAAAGACGTTGGTTCGAGTCTTTTGTAAATAATAAAAACCTCAATTTTCCAAACGAGGTAAATCATTCTATCAATTTTTTTTTCTTATAATACGAACACCTAAACATACCCAAGAAGATTGGGGGGGGGGGGCGAGCGAAGCGAGCGAAGGAGGGCGCAGCCCCCTGGGGGTTTGTGAGTGAAGCGAGCAGGGAGCGAAGCTGAGAGCTAAGTCGACTTGAATCGTTTTACCGCTTCGCTACTGAATAAAATCCTTCATTTCATCGAAGCATTGATTTTCGATCGACTTACCGATGGAAATTATGGTCCCTCAATGAATGCTCTTCAATACTTCTGGATGCTATTGAGAGAGTAATATTACTGGCAGCTGTGAACCGCAACCACATAAATGCGGTCAACCAAACCACCTGCGAACAAATTATAATTTCTATTATGAGATTTTTCATCAGAGGGGGATAAAAGGTTGAAGTAGTTTCCCTCATCCATAGGATCATTTCCTACGAGCGTCAGTTCACAGACCTTGTTCACGTGGACCAAAATTTTTCATGAAAATTCCAACAGAATATCTCCCGAAACTCGATATTAGACGCCGGATTTCGGGGAAAATATCTTCTTTGAAAACCCCGTCTTACGCTTTAGACTGTTATCTACACAATAATATATTTCCCCTCGAACCGGTAATTATCAGACGTCCTCAAAGGGCTAACTACTCCATCCATTCTTCCACGCTGTCTCACATTCCTGACTTAATGAACCTGATATGACACCAAAAGAGGAAATAACACGAAAAAAACAGGTAAATGTACGCGTATAAATACATATGCGCCAGAGCATGCGATCGTTGTCTCTTGTCTTGTTACACACTCGGTTATGCGCCCGGGTTGTTTTACGATTAGATGCTACGTCGTCTTCACCGGTACAGCAGGTTCACCGGGTAGCCAGAGAATCGAAAACCAGTCACTTTGAAATGCAAGGATTGACCCTGAATGATAGCTCTGCGTGTGTGGAGTAATCAAGCCATTAAGTGTTAGTAGATTTCTTCTGAGCACTGGGCATCACTTTAATCACTCACGCCGTGCAAAAACGACGATCAAGATTTAAGATGATTATTTTCGTCTTGAATTTTATTTTGAGAATATCCAAGTATCTTGTTTTCAATCATTAAATCTGTCATGAATATTGAAGATTACGTTTTGCACAGAATTATTATTTTTTTAAACATGCGTTGTTTGTAAATGAATTATTGAAATTGTTTTTAAGCATGAAATAGTTTGTGGTAAAATTCGGAATATGAATCAATTTGTTACGATTCCGAACGAATGATTTTTATGGTGGTAAATTGATTATTTATAAATTATTCCAGTAGCGAAGTGGTAAAACAAGTCGACTTATCTCTTAGCTGAGTTTTCGAGGAATATTTCCGAATCTAAGGGAGTGAAATTTTTGGGAATATCTTTTTTGCAGCTCTCAATTTGCTCTAAAAATTAGGCTATCTACCTTAAATTACGAGATATTCATTGAAACCTGACAAATAGTCAAAATCAACTTAAACCGTTTTACCACTTCGCTACTGATTTATGGAAAATGCTCGTAATTTTCAAAAATTGCAATTTTTTAATTATTTTATCAATCTTTCTCCAAAAGTAAATTTTCTCATTTTTTTCAGATTTTTAAAATGTTTTCTAACGGTTCAATATCGAGATTCAAATTCAGACCTGCAAAGTTTAAATAATAAAATCATTGGAAAATGTCCGGAAACTTGGGGTCAAATGGAGCGCAAAGGAAAGCTCTGATGTTCGACTGAAAAAGTAGAAAAGCATTTCATAAAACTCCCTCCATAGGCCATTCTGCGGTCATATCCAGTAATAACTAGAGATGCAAATGCGTCACATGACCCGTCATATGACGGTCACATGACGAGGCGTTCATGACGGCTGTCACAATTCCCCCTCCCCCTTCTGTGACCGTCACAACTTGTCAAGAAAAAATGACAGTCATTTTTCATCTATATAGATGAAATTTTATTTTTTTCTCGGTCAATTTTCAGTTGAATTCCTTTTGTATTGGCCTAATCAGCATTTTGAAATGGAAATCACGTTTTTTTTCCATCCATATAGATGAAACTATTTTGTTTTATTCATGACCGTCACAAATTGGAAATTAGTTATGACCGTCATTATGCAACTATATAGATGGTTTGACAACAATTTGGTTACAAATGATTTGTGACAATCATTTGTAGTTGGAAAATTTGTGCGTCACATGACCGTCATTTTTTGGTCATATGCCGCGATCTAAAAAATAACGGTCATTTTGCATCTCTAGTAAGAACACCATTGAGTTGAGAACTAGTCAAATTTATTAATCTACAATAACCAACAAAATATAATATCAAGTAAACATTTCTGTCTGGAGTAAATGTTCCATGGAAGGACTTTTACTTGAAAATTGAAAGCGGTTGAAACATCATTAATTAGAAAAATATTTCAGTGGAAAAAAACGGCCAAAAGTACTTGGATATAGGGATCGCCATCAATATTAAATTTCTGTAATATTACAAGAATTTGATCCGTACATTAATGAAGGTTTAATGTACGGGTCAAATGTTGATCTAATTTTTCAAATAGTATATTATTAATAATCTGATTTTTTCGAATAATGATGAATTTGTCAATATGGAACTGCAAATTTAGCACTAAGTGAATAATTCAAATTTCATAAAAGGGGATTTTCCATTACACAAATAATCGTCAATCTTCCTACCTCAATTATTGATTGATAAAATAGTTAAAATTTTGAATATTTGAATTGATGATACTTGTACTCAAAAAATTTAAGAGTAATGTTAACTAATTGATGGCTACAATATTTAACGGTAATTAAATAATTCACGATGTTATTCATTTCCAGGGCCACTGATATTAGGATAAATAATGGGACGTTAGAAGAGTTTAAACAATACTATTTTATTGTCAAATCGCGACGTTTCGCTGCTAATTGCAGCTTCCTCAGGCTCTGAAAACCAAACACAAACAAAAACACACTAATAATAGTTTCTACTCAATTTTGAATTTGGCAAAATTCCGCCACTAAACAGTCATAAAACCAAAAAATTCACCTTGACAATTCTAGTAAATAGTCACAATAAACTCTAATGAATTCTGTCTCGAGTATCCGTAACATATTAAAGCGATAATTATGATATTATCGATATTATATTATCGATATGGTAATTAAATATTATGAATTTGACTATCCCTGCTTGGATATCCTTAAGATGAGACTATGGCGAAAATTTCATGTTTCACATCTCCACTTTATTAACATGAAGAAAAAATTGAAAAAAATTTGCCGGAATTTCCCATCAAATACTTGCGGTACTTACAAAACAGCGATATGACCCCTCCTTAAGGGTGCCAAGTGAATTTGGCGATGACCTTGAAAATTGACATTCACCAACAAAGTTATAATTTTTTAAATTAATAGTATTAGACAGATGGTGAACATCGGTGACAATTTTAAAATTTCAGAACTTATGGATATCGAGAAATTAAATAAACAAAATCAGTCTTATACACGGCCTCTTATGGAGTTTTGATTAAATTGAACGTTTCAACCCCCTAGGAACTCAAGAAAAATTTGAAAAAATTTGAAGATATGGGGACTGATGTGTTCAATGTGATGGCGACAAAAAACAATGGGGTACCGGGGTGAATAAGAGAGATATTTCAACCCGCCGTACCCATTTGATCCCATGCTTTCTCGAGGTTCGTCACGCGAAATAGAGGATTTTCCGCATTTATTTTCTCGATGTCTAGTTCCGGTTGCGGGTTTGAAATTTCGTCGGATGGATGAATACATATTTCTCCAATGATGGAGGGAAAGAAAAATTTTTTTTTGAATCTTTTCTTAAATTCACTTGGCACCCTTAAGGGGTAACACGCACGAAGAAATTTAATAGAAAAACCTATCGAATTCGTTAGAAAATTCTATTGAATTTCTGTTAAACTTTCTATTAGTTTTTGGCTGATTCTATTGACATGTTCAATAGAAAAAGTCAACAGAATTCGATTTTTCTATATAACTTATTCTTTTCATATATTTTCTATAGAATTTGCTCTACTCAAATTTTCTAAGTTTTTTTCATTCTATTTTTCTTTTCTTCTCATCAAGAAAATCAAACGAAAAAACTTGAAAAATTTAAGCCAAGGATTCTATAGAAAATAGCTCAATCGAATAAGCTATATTGAAAAATTGAATTCTATTGACTTTTTCTACTGAATATTTTCTATTGAACAGTTCAATAGAAATTCAGTAGAATTTTCTAACGAATTCGATAGGTTTTTCTATTAAATTTTTTCGTGAACAGAATGCCCTTAATTTTCTCATGAGTGTCGAACCCTATTTTTCATCGCAATGTGGGGAGCGTGCGATAAAAAATAGAAAAACGAATCACAGAGCCATAAAATAAGAAAAATGGTTCCTTATTTCAAGTCAATCACACTGATATATTTCTCTGCCATGACTTCCCGATGATCCTCACAATAACCCTGGTCACAACCCTTAGAAGACTTTCTCAAGAGCACTATTTCTCCTTCGACAAGTTGAAGGAATTGAAGCGGAGTAGTTTTTTCCGTAAAATTTATAGGATCATCAGGCCACTAATGGACACTACAAGAAAAATAAAAGTTGTTTGGCCCATTGGAATGTTTGTTTTTTACCGAACAGCAATATACTTAATGGAACATTGCAAAGATAAAAAGTACGAGACGTTAAAAATATCCCGTTTGAGTTTGCGTCCAATAGGAAAACATGTCCTACGATCGTTGGACTGTGAAGTGTACGAGATCAAGAAGGAAGTGTCATGAAATATAGTAGCACGATGAGTTTTCCACGTGTAGAACTCCAACTATCGTTCCATCGAATTAATGATTATTTATTGTTATGAATATTCGGAATGTCGTAATCAGCGAGGACATTCGTATTTTTCCCAACTCTGCCAGGTGTTTCCAGTTATCCACGGATTAGGAACGCACATTGGTCTCCGGGTCATTGGTCTTGATAGAGTGAGAGGTAAAAATTGTCTCGTTATGAAGTTTTCAGTCATAACTGTTAGGACGAGGAATTCATACATCTACACCATCATCCACAGAACCGAAACCACACCAAGGTGACTAAGTAAATGTTTACACATGTCAATCATGAGACGCGTCAAGCATTTGCTTGTCTAAACAGTCCAGAACTACAAGGTTCTGTGGTATACCAACTTCTCGTAGAAATTCCACTCATCGGCATCGAGAGGAATTAATTATTGTGGAATTTTTCTTTCAGGTGTTGGGTTTTATCTGAATGATTTTTCGGTGGGAAAAGAAGGCTGTTCACCAACTCCATTATTTTTTGTATAGGGGAGAAATATTCAATAAAAATTACGTATCTTTTCCGTAATTCCGAAGCGTAAATATGGTTTATAGGAAATTCTACCCGAACTGTCACGTAATTTTTACCTGAATCTCCTGTGAAAAATTACGAAATCATTACTTAAATTTTCTGAATCGATTCCGTAATCGGTGAGCGAACTTGAGTTCCGAAATTTTTACTGAACATTTCTCTCCGTGTAGAGAACATCGTTGAAATTTTTAAAAATAGTTTCAATTAAATAATTGACGATTTTTCAAATTAGTTTGACAATGCTATAATTCCAAGCATTTGCTTGTCTAAACAGTCCAGAACTACAAGGTTCTGTGGTATACCAACTTCTCGTAGAAATTCCACTCACCGGCATTGAGAGGAATTAATTATTGTGGAATTTTTCTTTCAAGTGTTGGGTTTTATCTGAATGATTTTTCGGTGGGAAAAGAAGGCTGTTCACCAACTCCAGTAATTTTTGTACATGGGGAGAAATATTCACTGGTAATACCACAAGAGCTTCAAAATTATCGGGTATTTTCCGATAGGTTCGTTGCAAACAAACGAAGGAGTCAAGTTTTTCAGGTTAAAAAATCACGAGTGCGAAGGACGAGTGATTTTTCCTGAAAAACTTGACGACTTCGTTTGTATGCAGGGAACCTTGAGGAAAATGCCCGATGAATTTTGAAGCTCGTGTGGTATTCGGGGGATTATTTTTCCAATCCGAATGTCGGGCAATATAATTGGACCATGAGACGAAACTCACAAATGAGAAACGAAAATTGTATAATTAACATAACGACACAATTGAATTCAATCTCTCAGTTTGACGAGGGGTCAATTCGACTGCATGATGTTTTGTTTTTTATATAGCAACTACCAGAGAAAATTATCAAAAAATTATCAGTTGAAAACCCTGTAGCTTGTACCACGTGATGTCGAATGGGCCAATTATATTGCCCGATATTTGGGTTGGAAAAATAATCAATAGAAATTGAGTATCTTTTCCGTAATTCCGGAGCGTAATGTGGTTGTAGGAAATTTTACGGAACCGTCACGTAATTTTTCCAGAGCGTTCCGTAAATTTAACCTAACTCTCCTGTGAAACATTACGATATCGTCACTTAAATTTTCTGAGTCGATTCCGTAATCGGTGAGCGAACTGTGAGTTCCGTAATTTTTACTGAACATTTCTCTCCGTGTAGAGAACATTGTTGAAATTTTTAAAAATAGTTCCAATTAAATAATCAACGATTTTTGAAATTAATTTGACAATTTTATAATTCCCTCGGCCCGCCTTCTATTTATTTAGCAACTTTTGTAACTTATTCAACAATCAAATTGACAACTCTGCGGTCAAGTCTGTGTCCAGAGTTCGTCCGACGTCAGGGAGTGATTACAATTCCGTGTTCTCTCCAGCTGTTGTCAATAAAGTATTTTTCAATCTTATTACATTATTTTAATAGAAAAAAAAATCCATTGGATTTCTGTTAAACTTTCTATCAGCTTTTGATCAATCCTATTGGAATGTTCAATAGAAAATATTCTATAGACATAATCAATAGAATTCAATTGTTCCAATTTTCCAAGGTTTTTTCACTCAATTGTTTTTCGTTTCATCAAGAAAATCAGACAAAAAACTAAGAAAATTGGAGCCCAGGAAATTCTATAGAACGTTCAACAGAAATCCAATCGAATTGTCTAGCAAATTCACTAGGCATTTCCAAATGATTATTAAATTTTCTCATCCTTGTCAACTAAAGAATTTAATTCTATTCAAATGTCATCCCAAAAAAAACGACAAAAAATTGACCCCCCTCTCCCGACATCCTCCAATTACTGTACAAAATCTATAAAGACATATAACACCTTCTCCCAAGTGGCATCGCCTCCCATAATTACTCTGTAATACCATCACAACTAAATCGCCAACAAGTCATCACGCCGTGGAATAATTACCCGAAAAAGCCAAAGTAACCAAAAGAAAAATATACGCGCGTATAATAAAAAAGCGATTAGCATACTGAATATTGAGCAAGGTGGTCATCATCAAAAACTAGTTGGTCAGCCAGCAGATGCAGTGGGCAAGTGGGTACCCGGGTACCCCCAGAGAACTGTCGAGAGTTGATGATGTTGGTAAGGTGCTATTATTAAATTATAATCCCCCCACTACCCCGTCAACCACCTCCTTTTAATACATATATCGCAAATTGTTGGAGCGTGGACAAGTATAGTGGGCCCTGCCGGCAGTTGCTCGATAATTATCATTTATCAATATCGTCAGTAGCCTGAGGAAGAGGTATGTAGTATCGAGATTCCTCTGGAGTTGTGCACAGACACGTCGACACGTGATATTATGTAGATAACGATGGTATGCGAATGCCGGGAGATCGTTACAACGATATAACCAGGTTGACGTTGTGCCAGGTTGTTGCGTTCATAACCGATGACTTCCGGAGGCTTTCGCGTACATTTATCAATATTTCGTTATTTTTTTACTATTGTTTATTTGCCGAGTTGGGGGCGTTTTGAGACGTGACCCGGTGGCAGTAGAGGCTGCCGTGGTGGGGAATATATTGAGATCATTAATCACATTTATGGAGTGGAGCAACTGCGGTACTCATTCGGACAAGTTGCATTTCTCTTGGCGAAAATTATGGAAAGGCGAGGGTGTTTCGTGCAGCTGCAACTGGGGAAAGATTCGATTTAGGCGAATCTGAACGTATGAAAATATTCAATAGAAAACCTAGCGAATTCGCTAGAAAATTCTATTGGAATTCTACTATAGGAATTCTATGGGGTTTCTATAGGATTTCTATTGTAATTCTATTGAAAAATGCTATTTGTTCTTTGCGCTGATTCTGTTAGATATTTGAGAAGAAAAAGTCAGAGATTTCGAATTTCTGTTCAAATTTTTCTCGTGAGATTTTTTCTATTAGAAATTATTGGGCACAAATATTCAAAGTTTTTTTCGCTGGATTTTGTTTTGTTTTGCATTACAGAATGCGAGTGAAAAAAACATGCCCAATTTAAGCCCATTTATGCCCAAACATTGTTATAGAAAAAATCTCAAGAGAAAATTTCAAACAGAAATTCGAAATTTATTGACTTTTTCTCATGGAATATCCAATAGAATTAGCGCAAAAAACAAATAGAATTTTCCAATAGCATTTCAATAGAAATCCTATAGAAATCCCATAGAATTCCTATAGAATTCCAATTCGAATTCGCTAGGAAATTCTCTTGGCCTATCTTGACCTTTTTTGAACTTCTGGAATTTTTTTTCCGCTTAAAAAATGCCTTTTCTGATGATCTTTATGGAGACGCCGAGAAAAAGTAGACGAAACTGACTGAGAATTAAATTCTATAGGAAGATAAAATCTTACTGATTTTTCTGTAAAATAGTTTCTATTAGACGGTTTCTATAGAAATTCATCGCCTCAAATTTTCCTATTTTTTTCTCTGTATTTTTCTCAACTTTTTATTCATAGAATTAAAACGAAAAAACTTGATTCATCTCGAGTAATTTCTATAGAAAATGTCTCAATAGAAAAAATTGTAGAAAAAGTCGATTTTTCTATACAAAATTTCTCGACATTTTCTATAGCAAAAACGCGCAATTATATATATTCTTCAGAAAAAATAAACAGAATTAAGATATTTTCTATAGGAATTCTTCGGCTCAAATTTTCCAAGTTTTTTGGTCAAATTTTATGAATAAAAATGTAATAAAAATGGAGTGGAAAAAGCTTTGAAATTCATGTCGAGAAATTTCTATAGAAAATGTCTTAATAGAAGAAATTCTATAGAAACATAAAATTCTACTCATTTTTTCTATAAAACTTTCTGATGGACATTTTCGATCGACAAAACCCTCAGTAAAACGTCGAAATTCTCCAGCAGAATCGGCCAAAAACTAATAGAACTTTCAATAGAAGTTCTGTAGAAATTCAATAAAATTTTCTGATAAAATAATTTCAATTTCAATTTCGTCCAGTTCGCAATAGATTTGTTTATGATTTATACTCACCGCAATAGCAATACGAAGAGCTGCAATTTGCATAGTAGCTGGCCAGGCCAGCAATAGGGCCGTAGATCCTAATCACCTGGCCGGATCAGCGCCACTTCGGAAATCTCAGAGGGATTTATTTATATTTTAATTAATCCTGTTTTCCTCTTCCTGAGTAGTGGCACAGGGCCTCCTGGCCCTGTGTGCAGTTCCCTAATCCGGTATTTCGGTCTTGACGGCATGTTTCCACTCATCTGGGAATTGCAGATAATTCTAATTAATTGATTAATCAACATTTTTAATTAAAACATATTTAAAATCAATAAAATTTAATTATTGTTTTTCTATTGAAAATATGTTTTATTTTTTCTACAGTCATCGACCGTTTGATGATAATCAATGAAAATATCGTTTGTCTGGCAGATGTATCATTAATTATTTATGGAAAGTGAGACATAGGAGAGACAATCGGTGTGAACACCTTGGGTGGGATCGCACGAGGATTTTTTTCCTCAAGTTTTACCAGGGATTTGACCCACTCTCCGTTGAGTAACTGATCGCCCTATCCAATCATTCCAGTGTCTTTGATCATTCCAATGAAATCATGGATTGGCTCAATATGTTGGAGCTACGCCTCTCACTAACTATAACTACCCGCCTACTTTCAACTATTTCTATTGCTGAAATGGTGGTTTCTAATGCCCGTTATACACTCCATCATTCATCAATTATTCGGAAATTTTTCGTTTTTGGATTTGTTTATTCATATGACAAATGTCGAATTTTCTGCAAAAACCATTGATTGGAATTGAAATTAAATGGATTGAAGTAAAAAAATATTTCAATTCATTCAAATAATTTATTGGATTAATCAAAAAATTGAGGAAGAAATAAAATAAAATAAAAGAAAAAAATCCATTCCTTTTCAAATTTTTTTTTTTTCAAATGCCAAATTCGATCAAACGGATGGAAAAAAAAATTAATTGATTTAAATTGTTTGTTAGATTAATGAAAAATTGAGAAGTAAAAAAAGTAAAAAATATATTTAAAAAAGTAAAAGGAATAGACGAAATACTGAAAGTAAAACTGAACAATACTTATAAAACATCTCGGATTTATTTTTTCCGGAAAAATTTCTTCCACTGAAATTTTACCAACATTTTTATAATTATCTATCATATTCTGTTGATTGCCTGCGGTAGACCCCATGTGGTTGTCTTTATACATATATGTAGGCACATGGAACCGCACGGTAATTTTATAAATTTCACGGTTCTCCTGACAAGGCGTGAAAGCGGACAGCATTAGTACCGGGGTAGACGGTTTTTTTATAGTCATCTCTCCTGTACAACCGCACACATCAATTTCAACAGTTTTAATGATACTAATCGCGTTATGATTTTAATTGACGGCCTCGCTTATGCGATCAAGGGCCTCAACTAGGCGGACCTTCCCATGTCCTCGCATCGAGGTATCAAATCGAAATAATATAAATAATGAATTATCCGGGCCAAATTATGTGTCAGAGTCGATAATGAAGTGGGAGAATTCTAAATAAATTCCAGATTTTTCAAAAAATCCATCGAGAAAGTTGAATATGCGAGAATTATAAATAAATATTATTCAAATATATGATATGGTTCACGTGAATGTTCCAAACACGTCTGCATACATGAATTTGATTGTGTAAAGTGGCCCTGTTGTACGACGGGGAGAGATTCTCCTCAACACGTGCCGAACATTCCAAGTTACCCCGGGACGTTCCAAGGTTAGAGGGAAAGTCAAGGGAGATAAGTAAAAACCGAGGATAGACGCTTTTTAAAGTAGCTCTACCCTTACGGTAAATTCAAAGATGATTGAAACCTACAAAAAACTTCCAGAAAACTCGATTAGATTCGGAATCCTAATTTTATTCTCAATTTAATTATCGTTTTGGTTTTTCTAAAGGGAATGTTGAAAAATCAGGATTTAATCCGGTGTCTTATGCGAAAATCAACATTTCCATTGTAATCAAAGATTAAAATCAGAATTTTTTTTCATTAGATGTGAAAAAATCACGATTTTTTTTGACACCTTATTAAAAATGGTGCACCGTTTTGCAAACAAGTTCTATTATTTATTTATAAGAAGGAAATGTTTGAAAAAATCTTAATATTTTGTGACATTTAATTTAGATAAACCTGACTGGGTATGAAATTTTTCAAATTTTTCCCATGCAATTTAGTTGAGAAATCCAAAAACTGAAAATATCCAAAAGTGCAGCGTAGCCCGGTCGAAGTGTAGAGCTACTTTAAGGATAGTCTTGAAATTTTACCTCCAGTTCAGTAATTTAAAACGCGAGGGAGTTTTTGTAATGCATCCTTCACAATTTTTTACTCCGTCACTTTTAGAAGAAAATAGTGTGACGTTTTTTAAAATCTGTTTCGGCCGAACAGCTTTATATAAATTACATTATGCACTAGGTCAGATTAATTTATCCATTAAATTGATGACGGATGTGACGAGAAACAACAATGTAGTAGCGGCAAAAAAATAAAAGCGGAAAGTATCCTATTAGTCAGGGAGGTGGTAGTGAGCGAGGGGCGCAGCCCCATTGGCAGTTGGCGAGCGAAGCGAGCCGGGGGCGGGGCCCCTTGCCAATTTTAACTCCCGCTTATCAGAAAATTATTAAAGTCCTTTCAACAAACATTTTATGAAAAATCTGTTTCATAACGAAATATTGCTTTTTTTTATTGGTTTATAGTATAGAACTCATAACAGGATTATTTACACTGTCGATAGGGTGTCGTACGTTTTCTTTTTACACTGTTTTTTTTATACATTTCGCCTTTTATATGCGGAGCTTATATTTTGTGAAGAATTTGTCTATCGCTGTGAGAGCTTCGAGGTGGGTTGCCACCATGAACGTGAAACCATGAAAGTCCAATACGGAGAAAAATATTTCAATGATCTCAGTTTGGCTGTTAGTTCTAATCTCTGCGGATTAAGAAGGGGACGAAATATTGTTATGCCCCAGAATTGGTCAGTTGCGTTATTGTTGAATATGTGGCCATACAGCATTGTCAGCGTGACACTTGCCAGCGTAACTGGATGATGCTGACCAAGTGATGAAATATAAACAATCAGAGTATTATTTAAGAGACGGTTGAGTCTGCACAGATCAGACCTGAATTGGACTCCGACGCGTACAAAACTCGTAAACTCTTTGTAATCAGTCAGATGACAGTTATTATAATCAAGTAATAAATTCTCATATTTAAATGCTGATAAACCATTGGTGGAATTTATCCCTTCAAGCCTAGAACCTACTATAATTATAAGTGCCCCCCACGCTGTGTACAACAATATTGCAATTTTTATATTGATGTTTGTGTACATTTTCCTGGCCCATCAATACTTCTACTTTTCACGTTCGTCAAAAAAACAAAAATACGTCTGAAATGTTTTCGCATCACAAGAGTTTAGTGAATAATACCTATAGGAAAACTTCCCATAGCCCTCTACCCACCTGTGCATGTTCGACACGAAGGTACAATGAATGGATAAAAACAATCTTGTTTTATTCGGATATCAGCGAATAAAACAAGAATGGAGGGATGTGAGTGAAGAGTCAATACTGATAACTGTCAGTTCATGTTTTTCGTTATCGATAACAACGCGCTAAAGTGCATACATCATTGAGGACAGGGATACAGAGGGATCCTGGAGAACGAGAAAAAAATCTCACGGATAATTTGAAACACCCTGTTAGGAGCGTGTATTCGTCTCGGTGTTGAAAAATTCGTAACGTCCTGTGGGAGAAGATGAGGAGGGAAGAGAAATAAACAAGGGCGACCAGAGATGATTTTGACAACCGTGAAAATGTCGTAGACGGGAGATTATTCATAGCATCGTGTACACGGAGAGAAATTTTTGATAAAAATTATCCTACCGTTCTGTAGAAGTGTATCATGAGTCATCATTTCCTCATTTCTATCTCGAAATTTAGTAAAAATTGATATGTGATGATCAAATTTTATTCTACGTTAGAGAAATTTTATCCTGATGAAAATAAAAATTACCGTGCCGGTAGAGTATAAATTACTGTACCGGTAGGGTAAAATTTACCAATAGTTCTAGAATTTTCGTTGTTATCTATATAACAATTAGTGGACTGGAAGGGTAAAATTTATTATGCATGATACACTTTTATAGAACGATAGGGTAATTTGTATCAAAAATTTCTCTCCGTGTAGTATCTCGACGATGAGCATCTCCAGAAAAATTTTGTTTCCAATGAAAAAAATTTTGTTTTCAAAAAACAATTGTTTTTTATTCATTTTGTCTCTTTTTTCATCAATGTATAATTTTTGTTTCGCCGGAAAAATGACTGATTTTTTAACGATTTATTTTGTTTTTTTTTTATTGAAACATTATATTTTATTATTAAAAATATTTTTTGATTAAAAAACTCGATGTTATTTTGAAAATTTATTTTTCAACAGTTGAAAAAAATTCTAATTTTGTTTCAAGAATTGAATGTTTTAATATTTTTTTTTTCAAAGGAAATGAGAAAAGGGAGAAGAATAGAGGAAAAAAATGTTCTTCTCTTCCGAGAGATCTATCTGAATAAAAAATGAGAGAAGAATGAGGCAGTTAGCGGCGGTGGGAGAAATAAGAGGTAGGGAGAATATCTTTGACTTGCCGGTGCCGATTATAAATGTGCCACTGGGTGTTGAGCACGCGATCGGCATTTGATTTGAGAAGGTGAAAGGGAGAAAAAGAAAACATATTAATAATGAAGGGGAAAAAAAAATAACACTGGGAGCAGCGAAAATTCAGTCAGTAGCAGCAGTCTCAGTCGTAACTGGCGCCATTAAATGACCGGTCAACTTGTGAATTTGCATACTCAATTATTATCGGCATTCCAATCCGCTTCTTTTTAAACAGATGGGGAAACATGAGGTATATGAACCCGCATGTGATTGACAAAGTTCTTCGGGAAATTGGAATTGCATTCGTGAGGCGCAATTGCCATTTCATCGGTGAAAAAAACATTTAACACGTACGGAAAATTTTCATAGGGAAACCTAGTGAATTTATAGGAAATTCCATTGCATTTCTATTGAAATTTCATTCAGTTTTCGGTTCTATTGAAAAATTCCTCAGATTGCACGTTTTTGCTTCCGAATGGAAGCATTGTATCTTTCGATAGGAATGGTTAAGGGAACTTATTCTGTAGGAGAAATGAATAGAATTCGATTTTTCTGTGAAA